GCACATAACAACATAATAGTCTTTAAGGGTTGCACTGTTAACCCAAACACTGCCCCCCCCCCCCAGCGGTACAATTCCACCAGCAACTCCATGGGAGAGAGACAGGCAATGTCTTCTGGTGTGATTCACAGCCTTAGAAACATAATAGGGGGGTCAGCAATGAGTTGGTTTCAACTCAACAGCATTAAGAGTTTCAAGGATGTTGTTGTGTACCATGGAGTCAGAACTGACGCATAGCTGACCCTTCAGTAGATTTTCAGAGGCAGGAAATCACAAGAGAGGTGACTGCCCATCTTTCTCCTGCAGAGCCCCTGGTGAATTCGACTTTGTATTGGCTGCACAATTCCTTACCACTTAGCCACGAGAGCTCACGTCGAATATAGGTTCACACAAGGACCCTTGCTAGCGTTGTGGATTATGTGTTTGGCAGCTAACTGAAAGGTTAGTTATTGGAATCTGCCAGCTTCTTTGAAGGAGAAAAATGGGCAGCCTCCTTCCTTAAAGATTTACAGCTTTGGAAACCTGATGCTCTCACGAGGAGTGAGACTCCGCTGCTCTGGGTTTGGCTTTTTAGTCTTTCTTAAAACAAAAGCTAACACACAGGATTTTTAACTGAAAGGCAGGAAGTTCAAGAAGACCAGCGGCATCTTGGAAGAAAGGTTGGAGATCTAGGTCTGAAAAAGTAGCCATTGAAAATCCCATGCAGTTATTTGACACACATGGGACAAAGTCAGTCAGAATGACTCAACAGCAACTCATTATAACTTGTTGTTACTCCAGGGCTATGGGGGCGCCCACTTAACAATTTCTGTGTACGTCCAGCATGATGCTTTCAGCAGCCAATCAGCTCACAATTAGGAGGCAGCATAAGAAAGGCCCATTTACACATCGGTAATGAATAAAAACCTCAAAAGCCACAAAGGCTGTTAAGAACATTGAAAGTGAAGGATTAACGGAATTTAGTGAAATAAAAGCACTTCTAACTTCAGAAAATTGGTGCGGAGAAGAACAGAGGGCAATACGTGAGGATATGGATCTTGGGGCGTAGCAACTGGTAGTGCTGTGGATCATAAAGCTTGATTGCTATCCACAGAGTCCTTCATTAGAACCTATTAAGCATTCTGCAAGACTCAGATGTGGCAGCCTGCTTCTATAAAATTTACAACCTTGAGAACTCTGTAGCCATTCTACTCTGTAGAACTACAGGATAGTTATGAGTTCGAATCAAATCCAAAGCAATGGCTTTATGAGGCTCAAGGAGATGGCTATTAAAGAGAAGGTTGGTTAGTGCAGTGCCTGTTACTACGCACAGCTGACTCTCCAAGGCTAGAAAGCTCCATCTATCTCCGTAGGAGCTGCTGGTGGATTCAGACTACCAGAGGAGGCATCCCCTTTGGACAATTCCCTACAGAGAGTCCCTAAATGCAGGATAGCACGTGAATGGCAGAAAGGGTGTGGTGAAAAGGTGCTGAAGCAGACAATCCCAGGCTGTGTTCTGTGAACGAGAAATAATCTTTGAAAACTAAGGAAAGATAGATAAACAGAGTCCACCTGGGAGGGAAGACTCTGCCTTGTCCTTGAGACCAAGGCCTGTTGGCACCTGGATTTCTGGGTTTACCGGCAGGCGGTTGGTTGTTCAGCACCACTTGGGGGATCGGAAGAGTAGAAAAGAGAATGAGGGGACTCCAATGACCAGTCTATGCTGCAACAAACCCCGGAATGGGGGTCCAGAGACTGGATTCCCACCAGGCTCCATCACTTGGACAAGCCACGTCCCAGCTTTCCACACAGCACTTGACACTGGGGAATAACTTTCACATCCATGTCTGGATAGACCTGGGATGTGAGTGGAATGGGGTCTTCACCTGGAACAGGGAGGTGAAATAACAGGGCTCCCCGTCTAGATCCTGAAATATGGTGAGGATAACGTGGGGATCTATCTAGGTGAGTTTGGTCACCTGCTAAGTCCCATGTAGATGGCAGGTTTGATTAGCACTGGCTTTGATCTTAAAATGCCAGAAAGGAGTTCAGGGAGGTGAGGCGCCCTGCCTTTTTATCTCATAGGCAATTGCGACACAGAATTCCAAAAACAAACTCTTTCCATCTCATCCCACGGCTCTCAACCCTCCAGGTTTCTTGCAGCGCTCACTCTTGGGGAGCCTGCCTGATCTCTGGCGGGCTGCGTCGTCCGGTAGGGGCTCCTCTAAAAGACGCGTTGGACTCGGAGTCCAGATAGGTTGCAGGCGTGGCGGGGAGGGGTCCTCAGGCCTGGCTAGGGTAGACAGGTATTCCTCAGGTTGGGGCCCGACCGCCCCGGCAGCACCCCTGGCCTGCTCCTCCGGGCCCAACTCCCCGTATGCAAATCAACTGCTTTGCATATGGGCCTGGGGCCAGGCGCGTGGGCCCTGCCAGGGGGCGTGGCCGCGGCCCCCGCCCCGCCGCCCGCCGCGTGCTCACCTGGGGAGTGTGACAATCCTGGCCGCGCTCTGTGCAGCTGGGGCCGGAGCAGCGGAGCGCGCGACGGCGGTGGCTACGGCTCTGACAGCGGCTCCCGCGGCGCCGGCGGCCGGGGGCGGGAGGAAGGAGACCCTGGCGTCCCAGGGGGCCCGGCTGGGGCAGTCGCGAGGGGCCTGGGGGGGCGCTGGCTTTGGCCCCGCCTGGGGCAGGATGGTGAATCTGGAACCCATGCACACAGGTGAGGGGTGAAGCAATGAGCTCCAACAGGTGTCACTTAGGGTGAGGGAGAGGGAGAGAGGCGCCTCTCCTGGGGGCTTATTTAACAGAGGCCAGGAGAGGGCAGTGTAGACAGTGAGTGGCACTGGGGCGGACACGGAGGGGGGCCTAGACGGAGGGCATCTGGGATCAGAAACTTTGGAAAGGAATTGCATAGGGCGTGTGGGTGTGAGAGCTTCCGAAGCCCCCAAGTCTAGAGCGTGTCAGTTAGTGGGACTTAGTATGCTCAACTGTTGCAGTCTCTAGGAGGCTGTGCGTTCAGGAGATGGCTCAACAGCTCGCAGGCTCAGCCAGGGGTGTGGACTGGGGAGTGCAGAAGTGAAGCGAATGCGTGTATCCACATGTTGCATGTGAGATTTCTGGGCATTTGTGTGGAATGGAGACTAAGTGGGCATTGGTAAAGTACATATGGGGCCACGGGGGTTAGGAAGCTGAAACGGGGTGTTGTGGCTTCACTTCATCTAATTTGCAAAAAGGGGAGAGAATCATTATCAGCAAGAATCAGCAGCCCAAGGCTGATTGCTGACTAAACCCACTGCCGATGGAGTGGGTTCCAATTCATAAGGACTTTACAGAACAGAGCAGAACTGTCCTATAGGCTTTCCAAGGCTGATAATCTTTACAGAATTCACACTTCCGCGCTCCCCCCCAACATGTGGCTGGTAGATTTGAACCAAGAACCTTTGGGTTAGCAGCAAAGTACTTTTAAGCACTGCACAACTAGGGCTTCTTGATTGCTGTGACGTAGAGGCCAGATATAGCTCTACCTTCCTGCCTCTTTTGAAATTCCTATACAAGCTGTCCCTCCGAAGGCACTTTCTACTCCCCTGCTAAATCCAGAAATTTGCTGCAATGGCCGTACAGAACGCATAGATTATTTGTTAAAGTTATAGGCTTTGTTAGAAAAGAACAGATAACAGCTGAGGATCAGGAACGAATCAGGATACAGTCAGTTCTTCAGTCAGATAGCCTCTTCTCAGCCATGTCTGCAGTTAGGCTTTTCTCTGGCCCTCAGTCCTTTGGCCAGCCTCTACTCAGTTCTAGCAGGTGTTACAAAGTTTTATAGATCGGCCTATAAGGCCTGGGGTCACCCCATTCACCAGCTAGCCTCATTGTAAAGGTACTAAGCTCTCCCACTCCATGTTGGCAACCCAGGTTCTCTGACAATGCCTGCAGTCACCCCACTTTGCCAGGAAACTTCTTGCCTGAAGGCCCTCAGCTCTCTTGCTCTGTGGGGTCAGCATACCCACTGCCTTACATCATGGACCAGGAAGTTCCATTCCACGCTTCTCTCCTGCTTCTGATAGTACAACTTCACCCTGTCTTGCACCACATCTCAAATGTTATGGTTCTCTCCCTCTCTGTTTTCTAGACTAGAATTGGGGTCTCAATACAGAGACCCCTATTCAAAGGACGCCCTCCACTTCTATCTCTTCTTAGTGGTATTGAGGCTCCCCTTTCTGCTTCTGGGATGGCTCATTTTAAATCTAGCAGAATGACAAAGCTGACTAGTCTTCTCATTGTTGTTATTGTTGTGTACAGAAGAGTTGGAACCAACCATAGATGACCCTCTGGTGAGTTTTCAGAGGCAGTTGTTTGCATTGGAAAAAATTTCCCATCCTTCTCCTGCAGAGCAGCTGGTTGCCTCAAAATTAGTACCTTCACAGATTGCAACCCAGCTTCTTGCCACTAGGCCACCAGAGCCTCCTAGTCTTCTCTTTAGGCTTCCCTATATCTTATTCACATGATCTCATCCCTACAAATGTTCTATACACATTATTTGCACTGTTAGCAAATTATCCAATCTCCTGGGTGGATCACAAGCACCTTATTTGAATAGCCTATCCAATTATTTGGTGAGAATTATAAAATCATATCTTGAAAGAGTACACAAAAGTGATCCATTGAACCACAGGTCACCCCCTCCCAAACATTTCACCTGCCATTAACAATTTGTTGTGGAGAAGGGCAAAAGTCCTCAGAGTGATGTTCCTCACGTACCAGCCACTCAGAGATACTGTAGGCATCCATCCATCTGATCTGGTCAGGTCAGGTCATCACAGGTCATCATAATCTTTACCCTTCCTGGATTCTGATAAAATTGACCTGGAAAAAAAAAAATCATTCTCTTGCTTTGAGCCTCATGAGATATCAACATAGCAAAATCTTTAAGGGACTTTAGCTTCACCACTGCACTCCAGTCCAGCCAGTAGTAAACCCCACCCCCACCCCCCATTCCTCTTTTCCACAATGACTTCTACAATTACTGTTTTTACAGTCACAACCAAGCCTGTTAACAATCAACACACACACACACACACACACACACACACACACACCACCAACTGAATCATATAATCCTATCAACACCTTACCCCACACTGTCTCCTCCACCAACTCATCAGGAAAAGAGGAAACTCTTCAGTGGGGATCATTTCTTGTCTCCCTCGTTTTAGTATAGACATACCCATTAAAGCATGTAACTTCATGCTTGCTTCTCATTTTAGATAGACAGGGTTTAATTGCCTCTCTTTATCAAACCAGTACTATGAGGAGACAAGCATATTTGTTGGGCAGAAGAATCTTCTATTCTTTCAATTCTGGATATCTGTATAAGTAAAGTCCAGTCCACAGTAAGTCATCAAATTAAAACAATTTACACCATTTCATGGTTTCAACATCACCCTCTCCATTTAGGTGGATTCTGGTCAGCTCATCTCTAGCATTGCTGGTTTAGGTCAATGGGTATCAGTCATAGGCTCAGAAATCTACAGACCTCTCCAGGCTTCAGATCAGTCAATCCTTTCTCTCTTTTTCATCACTAGCTAGGTCAACAAGCACCATCTACAGACAAAGGTTCCCTGTACTTTAGACCAACCAGCCCTTTCTCTCTCTCTGTAATCCCTAGCTTCCATGGTTTAGGTTACATGGTTTAGGATGTCACTGGCACATGCCCAGACTCAGCTCATCTTTTCATTTCTGTGCATCCCCCACTTCCACCTATCTAGGAGACCACAGGTGAGCAAACCAGGCTGTCTACTCAATGGCTTCTTTTAGCTTCCGGTCCTAGAAGAGATTTCTGATGGACATGGATTTTTTCTGCCTCTCTACAAGCAAAGCAAGACCCTTGCTAGAAATTCAAAATCAAAACAGTATATTCTCCACTTCCCCCCTCCTTCCTTCAAATGCAAATTTCCTGCTCTCACAGCAGTTCTGGGTGGGTCTGCATGTCTTTTCAAATGCAAATTTCGTTTCTCTGAAAGTTTTGGGTGGGGCTTAGATTGTTGACATATATCCCCAGTACTCTATTTTGGGCAAAGTTTAGTTCTTCTTTTAGTGTATACCATCAAGTATTGACTCAGGTAGTTATAATACCCACTATACATTTATATCCTACATTTAGGGAGCTCTGGCGGCCTAGTGATAAGGACCAACCAAAAGGCACAAGATTCGAATCTACCAATTGCTCCAAGGGAGAAAGATGGCCAATATCCTGTGTAATTCACTACCTCTGAAAAGCCTGCTAGAAGTCCAACTATGAGTTGGTCCTAACTTGACAGTACATAACAATCATACATTAAATCTGTTTTACAATGTTAAGTAAGAGAAATACTCAGTATCCATAGTACATTCAAATAAACACAATTTAAAGTTTGCTCTCTTTTCCATATCTTGACTGTCTTCCCATGTGTATGCATTTGGTCTCAGACCTGTGGTTGGGTGGAACCAGAGACACTGGCCCCTTATCATTCATCTTGCTTATCCAGACAACCTTTCCCTTAAGCCTCTCCACTCCAGATATAGCATTTTCCCTCTCAGCTTCACCATAACATCTTTTTTCCTTTTAGCCTTTACAATTAACAATAACCAAAAGTAGCCATCTGAAAATGAGTTGGAATCAACTTGATGTCAGTGGATTTGAGCTTGGGATCATCCTTTTTCTTACAAAATCCTGTGCTTCTATGAAGACATTGCAATGAATCCCACTTCTAACACCAACAGTAAAAATGTGTGTGTGTGTGTGGGGAGGGTAGTCAGATCACCTTATCTGACTTCCCCAGAGGAAGAAGAAAGAATGATTATCAGTGTCAGCAGCCCAAGGTTCATTGCTATGAAGGGAAGGTCAAACATGCTTCATTCCAACATTTATGTCAATTCTTACACTCAGTGTTCCTCCTTCATCACTCTACTTCTTTGCTGAATTTGATAATTTGTTACAACTGGCCACACAGATCTGACAGACAACACTGACAGTATTGAAAGGAAATGACTAGGAAAATTATGGGACAGTGGCTTCTCAGCTGTGCTTGCAGGTAGACCTCTCTTTGGCCCTCAGCCCCTTAGCCCCTCCACCCCTCAGTCCAGCCTCTGCCCTACGTGGGCTACTGTTAAAAAGCCCTTTATTTTAACCAATAAATGTCCTGGATCACCTACTCCATCAGCAAACCTCAGCCCAAAAGTACTCTTTCACTCCACAAGTTGGCAAATCGAACTCCTCTGAGAATGCCTGGAGACATCTCACTGCACCAGCCAGCGAGCCTCCTGCCCAAAGGCACTCAGCTCTGTGCCTACTTTTAACTGTAGGCTGAGAAGTCTACTGCACTCTCTCACACTCTTCTCTTGGTTTTGCTGCCACTGCTTCTCACTGTCTTACACCATCTATTGTTACAGCTCTCTCTGTCTCTATGTCTAAGAGACTCTAAGTGCAAGAACCCCAGATCCAAAGGCTACGCTCCACTCCTATTTCTTCTTCGTGATGGGAGTGATTTCCCCATTTTTCGCGTGTGGGATCACAAAACTAACCAATTGACTTGTTAGGGTTCCATACACCTCTTTGTATGCACCCTATGAAGGTGTTGTGTGTACCTTATTGGTGTTATTAGAAAATTATCTAATCCCCATGGTGTACCACAAGCCTCTTATTTGCATAGTTTCAC